ACACGAAACTGTGATTTTTATCAATCTTTGTTTCTCAGGAGTAGTACTATTTATTGTTTCTGTGGAATATATGAGATTGTTTCATCGGCTCAACTAATATGGGTCAAAAGCCCGTTAGTGGCCTCTCATAAACTCTTAAATTGTGGGTCGTTTCTTAAACTCCTCCGTTTGGTGGCTTAATATGAACCTAGTTACTCTATTGGTTTTCAAACAATGTTGGGCCTAAGCTACGGCTCTAATGGGCTTACCTTGTGGTTTGAGTTACGTGGCACGTTCACGTGATAATTAATTAACTTCATGATAATTAGAGCAGGTCCCAGTGACATTGATTGTGCCAGGTCAATGGCTGATGTGGCATCGACAAACTATTTGTTTAATCATCAGTTCAGGTTTTGTCAGATTATCTATCACCGTACCAAAGAAGGATCATCTTGAAATAGTCATTAGCGATAAGCTATGCATTTAAATAATTTCTATAGCATATCCGTAAAACTATAAATATTCATATACGTCACTCCAAATCATGATTAAATCTTAGTTATTACTTATTAGTGGTAACATTAACATCTATGTTTTTATTTTGACATTGAAACAACGTTTATATGTAAAAAAGATATCGACTTTAAATTGTAACTATGACAATACTGGTATAACCCCTTTTTCTGAATATAAAATCTTGAAATGCTTTAAAGAGATATTCATTGAATCTAAAAAGTTAACATAAATTTATCAAACTAACAAAATTTAGTATAAGAAAAAAAGAGAGAAAAGAACCGTATTTTGAGATATACTGTTGACACAACTTATAGATTTTTTTTTTTTTTTGTTGTAAAGCTATAGTTTTGGTAGATTTTTCATAATACTAAAATTTTGATTAACAAGGCAAAAATTAAAATATGTTTTTTTCTTTTTTTTTTAAATATGTTAATATTTAAAATAAAAAGAAAACAAGGGTAATATTCGGAGATATTTGCGACGTAATTTTCCTGGTGGAATTTGGATAGAAGACGTCAATTTCAGAAGGTTTCTTCTGGACTACAAGTAAGAAACTCTTTGCTCATAAGCTAAAAGCCTAAAACCAAATCTCTCTCTCTCTCTCTCTCTCTCTCTATATACACAAACACAAACACAAAAGAGAACGAAAAAAAAAAAGAAGGTGACCGATTGCTTTACTGTGTATGTATGTAATATAAATAAAATCTGAATTCACTTGTTCGTCTCCTTTTCGTTAAACAAAAACAGTTGGGGAAAGTTTCGATTTTTCTTCTTTGGCCACTGAGAGACAGAGAGAGAGGTTTGGTTAGAAACAATGGAGGTTGATCCAAGTAAGGATCCGGAAGTCTAACGGGTCAAAACCCTGATGGAGTCGGCACGACTTGTGGGTGACTACGAACTTGGCCCGAGAATCGGGTCTGGTTCGTTCGCTGTGGTGTGGTTAGCGAAGCATCGATCCTCTGGTTTTGAAGTCGCCGTCAAAGAGATTGATAAGAAACTTCTTAGCCCTAAAGTTAGAGATAATCTTCTTAAAGAGATTTCGATCCTTCGCACCATCGATCATCCCAACATCATCCGATTCTACGAATCTATCGAGGTTTCAATTCTCTTTCTTTTTTCCTCTAGTAAGAGTGAATTTTGGGATTCATTGAGATTCAAAATTGATTCGAATTTTGTAGACTGGGGATAGGATATATCTTGTGTTGGAGTATTGCAGTGGAGGTGATCTTGCTGGGTACATCAATCGCCATGGCAAAGTTCCAGAAGCTGTTGCTAAACATTTTATGAGGCAATTGGGTAAACACAATCTCTATGCTTTTCGTTTGGGTGTTTTTTTTTTTTTCCATGTTTGTGTAATTTGGCATTGATGTTTGAATCTCTGTTTTTGTTGTGTAGCTTTAGGGTTGCAAGTACTTCACGAGAAGCATTTTATTCACCGAGATTTAAAGCCTCAGGTAACTTCAAAACTCACTTGACTCTCTCTCGATTTTTTTGCATTTGTAAAAAGAGTAATTATTGTTCTTCAATTTTTTTTTGCAGAATTTACTTTTATCTTCCAAGGAAGTAACTCCATTGCTAAAGATAGGAGATTTTGGGTTTGCAAGGTAAGATTTAGATCTCATATCTCAAAAAAAAATTGTTTGCTTTTTATGGAAAAGGTGTTAGTGTGGTGATATATCCACCATTTGGTATGTTATTTTTATTTTGGTAGGTCTCTAACACCAGAGAGCATGGCTGAAACATTTTGCGGTTCTCCATTGTATATGGCTCCAGAAATTATCCGAAACCAAAAGTATGATGCTAAGGTGAGGAAACGTATACAGTTTTAGAAAATATTTGACCTTTCAATTTTTTTTTGTTTCTTCTCATTGTTTTCTTGTGTCATGAATGTTTCAGGCTGATTTATGGAGTGCCGGTGCAATTTTGTTTCAACTTGTTACTGGGAAACCACCGTTTGATGGAAATAATCACATCCAGGTTTGTTTGCCTAAATCGATTGAATTGTCTCCTATGTGAACTTCTATTGAACTTATTGTGACCTTTACTATTCTTTGATGCCTGATCTCTACAGCTTTTTCATAATATTGTGAGAGACACTGAGTTGAAATTTCCTGAAGATTCTGTAAAGGAGATTCATCCAGATTGTGTTGATTTGTGCAGAAGTCTTCTCCGCCGAAACCCAAGTAGTGTTATAGGATTCTCTTTGTTTTTATTTTATTTTATCTAATCAAGTTACAACTCAAAATTTTCATTGGAAAATCTGTTCTTTTGACTGCAGTTGAACGCTTGACATTCCGAGAGTTCTTTACTCACATGTTCCTTAGAGAGCCAAGGTAATGTCTGGAGATTTTGACTAAACTACTCGCAACCTTCATTAATAAAGCTTTAAACTTTCTCTGCTTAATCTGTCATACCAAATATTGTTAGACAAGTGCCGGATGTTGAGCATTCTGATACTACTACCTCTATGGGAAAATCATCGTTGCCCTCCGCACAACCGATTAGTACAAACCGTTTAAAATCAAGTGCAGAGAACGTCTACAAACATGGGAGTTCTTCTAGTGCCCCAATTTCTCAAAATTTAATGCCACATATCTCTTTTGAGAAGACTAGAAAGGACACTGAAGGACAATGCTCATCAAACCAATCTGGAGGTTTGTTATACGCATGTTGTGTCTGATCTCTATTGCTTTCTATAAGTTCATATCACTCAGAATCTTTTTCTTTTGTCATTTGTGCAGTTGTTGACTCACTCGAGCTCATAGAGAGAGAGTATGTTCTTGTAAACCGTCCTTCTGCCTCGCTGGAAGGTTCATCAGATTGTTTCGACACATCATTGCATAATTCCGGGTTACCTAATTTCTTACCCAGGAATGAAAAAGTTTCATTGAGTTCACTTGAAGCACAGAGACCATTATCGGATGCGTCTGTTCCACGACCAGCAAGCGGATCGTATCTGTTAACAGAAGTTCAACGCTTAACAATTGTCCATCCTCCAACTAAGCTCCAACATTTGCATCAGTATGCACAAGTGCTTACAGAACTAGCTGGCGAGATGGTAATTAGAACTTCTAAATTCTGGCGTCTTAAATGATTAGAACTTCTATAACACAATTACATACAGGGAAACACAGGACAGGTAAAGGAATCTTTTGCTGTCACTCTCGTCGTTTTAGCTGTCTGGAGAAAAGCCTTAGAGATATGCGATTCTTGGATGATATCTGTTGGAGAGAATAGTGTGAACCCAGATCCAATCGCAGCTCCTGAGACTTCAATTCCAGATTTAAACTCACCTGTACCAGCCAAAACTTGGGTGACTCAAGAGTTTGTTACCGCGTTTAACCAAGCTGAGAATTCATCGACTCAACTAAACGAAACTAGTGGTTAGTACCTAACCAAGCAATGCTCTGTTATGCTTTTAATTATCTGAAGGCATATCATTCGCTTCATTGCAGCTGCCACTCATATGCCTGATGCCATGGAAACGATATATGAGAAGGCGCTAGCATACGGCAAGAGTGGTGGGGTAAGTATAAAGATGAACCTTTAGTTCTTTAGTCTGAAACTTTTGTGAAAAGCTTCCACCTTTATCAACCCATTTGTCCTAAAAGTCTGAACTGATCCTTGTTGTGGTGATCCATTTTTGTTTGTTTTTAAGGCTGAAGAGTATTTGAGTAACAAAGAAAGTGCAGCAACATTATACAAGAAAGCAATTCTTCTACTCTCCTTTATAATCGAGGAAGCAGTGACCTTATCTCTAAACCCTCCATTCTCATTAACCCCTGACGACAAGAAGCGGATTCTCTACTACATCTCTAACTTGCAGCATCGTCGGTCTCATCTTTAGCGAAAATCGACCGCAGCATTGTACATAAGAAACTTTCCCTTGGCTCTCTGGCTTGAGTCAAATCTATAACATTTGGGTTCCCTCCCTTGTTTCCCTTGAAATTTCGAAACGGTTACTACTCTATATTGATGATGGTGTGACCAAAAGTATTTGCCTCCCCCATTGTATAGTGCCAAATATCAAAAATATAGCTTCAAATACCAAAAATGCAAGCTTGTTGATGCCAACTACCAAGAGTGCCAATTCCAAACTTTCAGTTCCTTCACTAATTGGACTGTATGGGCTTATTCTGTGGACCCTTCAGTAAGTTACTAAAGTACGCTAGGCTCATAAGGCTGGGCTATATAGCAAACTTGATCAATGATTGCTTTTTCAATTTCAACATCATGTTGTGCTACAGAGTATATAAGATAGACCCTTGTAGACACACACTATTTATGACTGACAACGATTGTGAAGTCAACCCTTAAAATAGAAACAAAAGTCAAACCAGAATTGATGAAATATCTCATAAAGAAGAATAAGGTCAAACATTGTTAATTAAATAAAAATAGGACCCCAATCTCACAAAACACCCAAAACCTGAAAAATATGAGTCGAACAGTCCAAATGATATGCGGACAACACAGAATTTAAATCCGTCAGTCGGAAAACGAAAGAACAAAAAAACGAATTTTTATTCCCAGTAAAAGAAATTGGTATCTTCTTTATAATAATGATAAAAGATACAAATTTTGTTAGCTGTTTTGGAATTTTATGTGTTTAATGAAATCGTCGGAATATCAAAAATCTGATGCACTGCCGCTGTAATCTCGTCGGCCGATTCTAAGTCGCAGTCATCCTCCATCTGTTCCAACAAAATCGGAAAAAACTAATTTTTCTTATTTAAGGTTGGATTTTTTTTTTCTTTTCAATTTGGGCTTGAGGTTTATGATAATTAAAGTAAAAAAAAAAGGAAAGAGCAGTGTTTACCTTGAGGTTGAAGGAATATGAAACAGAGGAATGGGACAAAGGTGCGATATTGAGATGAAGAACAGTGAGTCTAAGCTTTTCGAGTGATATGATTCCTTTGAGAAGTTGCCCTTGTTTCTTTAGACATTTAACTTTAAGGCTGACATGGTTTTGTATCACTGTAGCTTCAATTTTGGGGATGCAAGTTTGATCTTCGCGAGTCGTCCACAACTCGTTCGACGAAATGCCTGAGAGATGGTCCTTCGCGTTTCCAACTACCTCACTGCGTTGTTGCGTTCTCTTTTGCGATTCAAGAGACTGTATGATTTGCTCGAGGACCTTCACGTAGTTTATTGCTCCCCCTACTATAGACGCTTGGTCTCCCTGCAAATACAAATTAAGGGTTTTTGATAAGGTTTTGCAGATTAAAGGTTGAAACTTTTTTTTGGTTTTTTTGTTGTTATTACTCGTTGGATGTAGGTTGGTGGGAGAAGGGCACGGAGGGAGCTGATATGTTCGTTCATTTGACGCCGTCGATTTCGTTCAACAGCAATGTGATTTATTCTTTGATTCTCGATCTCTTCAATGTTTTTACTTGGCTTGGTTTTCCTCCGCTTTCTCTTTTCTCGGGTCAGTTCTGGAGCCAGCAAGTGGTTGAGTTTGCGCTTGCGTCTTGAATTTGTGGTGAGTGGTGATGAGGTAGGAGGGAGTGTCATGTTTGCTTGGCTAAAGGGAAGTTCTTGGCTTGAAAAAGCTTGATTGGTTCCTCCCATGGATGATGCTGAAATCGGGAAGCGGTTGGTCTCCGATTGAACGGGTGAATGAAACTCCGGATAGCGTTCGAGTTCCCAAGTCTCTTTGACGGTTTGAAGAGACAATAGCGTTAGGAAGCTTGGCTCTTTGATAGTAAAAAACGATGAAGGGTCTTCACTCTGCAGCATCTGTAGAAAAGGAACTGTATCTTGTAATAAGCTTGCTTCCTCTTCTTTAATGGCAAAGCTTTGAGCCTCTGCAAATGCTGGAACTTCTAGGCTTCTCACATCCGCTTTCCGATCCAAAAACTGCAAGAAACACAGGGGAATGAGGTTGCATAGCATGAAAAAGAAGTGTAATTTAGTTCTACTGTGTGTTTGTTAGAGACTTGGTGGGTTAGGGCAGTGATAAACGAAAGTAGAAGGGATATTGGAATGTTTTCAAAAGAGAGGGAAGCAAAAATGATTGGAGAATTGTTATTGTTTTCTAGAAAACAAACAACAAAAGCATTAAATGCAGTATCTGGATTACTTAAGAATGAGTAAATGCAAGTCCATGTCTCTTGAGTATAGAAAAAATGATTCAAGGGAAGAGAGAAGATTGAAGAAAGGAGAGTAAAAGCTTTCTAAATTAAGCAAAAGATACATACACAGGGGTTGATGTGTCCTTGGAACCTCTCCATTTTGAGAGCTCTTGTTTGTTATGAAAATGTAATTAACACAGGACGAGTGACTGAGAAATAAATGCTAAAAATCACCAAAGAGGCAGAAGAGGAAACTCATGTACTCTCATCTGATTCTGAGCTTTTCTGGACTTGTAACTGTTAGCTTTATATAGAACAGAGTCTTTAGTAAGCTATTGAGTAGAGTGGAAACAGAGGAACTGTAAAAAAACAGAGAGGTAAGAAAATAGATGTGTTTGGGTACTGTAAGAGTTGGTGAGGCTGAGCAGAGCAAAGAAGAGAGAGAGAAAGAGATTATTGGTGGAGGCAGTTTTGTCTTGAAGTGGAGACAGACTTTGTGGGGACAATTCTAAATTACACAGAAGAAGAAGGTAAAAAGAGACATGTCATGGGTAAGAGAGCTTCCTTTGGGTTTGTGTCATCTTTCTCATGATGTCTCAATCATTCTTTCTTCACTATTCCCATACCATTTCTTTTATTCAAGACTCAAAAAGCTTAACTTTATACAGAAACTATGCTGCATGCATCCATCATGTTCCAATGATATAAACCAGCTTAGAGCGTTTTAATAGAGTTTCTAAAGCGTGGGAGTTTGTCTTTTACATTGCAAAACCCATTCATATCTAATATCTTGGTTACAAGGTTGACTCTAATAAAGATATAAAGTCTACAAATCTAATCTATTAAATGCCTTGGCTTCTACGGCATTAAACAGTGTTGGTCCTATAAAATGTCCCAATATGTCTACAATCTCACTCCAAACGGGTAAATTCATATCCGCTCTCGCAAAACTTGAACAAAGAAACAAAACATTCGGCCTTTGCATACTTCACGAAGACCTTAGAAACCTTATCAACAAATTAAAAATTCCAAAGAAGGTTTGGAATTGGATCTGTTTTTATCAATTGTGTACTGGATATGTTTGTTAACAGTCACACACGAGCTCTGGTTACTTCCTCTCAGGACAGAGATGCCCCACTACTTTTTTTCGTAGGTCTGTTATCAAAGATAAACGCTAGAGATTATGGTTCTTCTGACGTAACTTAACACAAAGCCCCTAAACTCAAATAAAGTAATGTCCTTTTAATTACCTTTTTAGAAGACAGGACAAAAAGAAACTTATTCATAAACAAAAAACACAATAGCATATCAGCATATGTCACAACAATGTAATGGAGAAGCACACGAGAAAGCGAAAAAAGATTGAACTTCGATCATGAAAATGACAGAAAACCTGAGAAATGAACCTTTTTGTTGTTTTAACGCTCGATTTGTATGGTAACGTGACTGATATGAAACTCTCTCCAGATGTAATCGATCACTTTGTTAAGAACCATATCATCATCAGCTTCTGGTCTAATCTTGACAGGACAAGAAACCAGAGCTTTTCCAACTGTAATTGCCCAAATGTGCAGCTCATGAACACCCACCACTTCTTCGATTTGCATCAATCCCTTTTCGAGTTGCTTCGCATCGATCTCCCTCGGTGTGCTCTCCATTAAAACTTCTAGTATGCCTCGGATCATCTTAATGGTCGTCCCTAAAACAATAACCGAAAAGAATAACGTGCAGATCAAGTCAATTACTTTCCATTTAGGCTCATACCAAATTAGACCCCCTCCAATCATCACCCCAATGCTCTGGATTAAATCCCCAAGAACATGAAGATAAGCCCCTTGCACATTAATGTTCCTCCCTTCCTTTGGTTTCTCTAACAACTGCTCAGCTTCCCCCCCCATGACTATGGCCATGCACATGAGTATGACTATGACCATGACCATGAGTATGAACATGATCATGCCCATGCCCATGCCCATGATCATGTCCAAGCACAACAATCATTATGATGTTTACAACTAAACCAAAAGCAGCAACAAGAACCATGAAGAAACCATAAACGTTATCATTAGTCTCTTGGAGGAGTCTAGTTACGGCTTCATAGACCAAAATCCCAGTGAGTAACCAAATGAGCTGGATTGAGACAAGAGCACCCAAAATCTCAATCCTGAAGAAGCCGTAACTCTGCCGGGGATTAGCTTCCAGAGAAGAAGCCCATAAGGAGAGCATAGAGATGGCAAAAGCACCAACATCAGTGAGCAAATGAGCTGCATCTGTTAGTATAGCCAAACTATTAGCCTTAATGCCACCAACAACTTCAATGCTCATGAACAAGAGACATAACACCACAACGAAACAGAGCTTTCGCATTGAAGCAGTTCGTTCCTTGGCATCACTTGAAGAAGCTGAAAACCCACAAGCTGTTTCACCACAGACTTTACTTCTTCTTGAGTCCATCTGCAGTAAGAAAATAAAGTAAGTTAAGAGCTAGAATCAATGAACTATACGCAATTCTATAAATACAGAGTACAGATTTGTTACCTCACAACAAGTCAAGATAGTAGAAACTCAAATCAAGAGTAAGGTTTAGAGTTTGAAACATGAAGTATATATTTAAAGAAGTAGGGAAAACAGAGAACTAACACAGGGACATGCATCCCACAACTACATCAGGATACGAGCAAAACAATATTTCAACATTACAACATACGAAGAAAAGAGAGACTAATAAAATTATAATCGATAAAAAACCCATGAAGTTAATGACAATGATGACAACATATTAATGCCAAAACCTATAAAACATGAGTAGTAGCAATATAAAAAGCTTATTTAAGTGAAGGTCCAATGTAACAATGACGAAATCCAAGCGACATCAGATTCTAATGTAGACCAAATCTTGATATCACCATAGAGAGTGCAAAGAATCTGGAAACAAAACCTTAATAATCTCTCTCCCCCATATCGTCCTCAAATTATTATTATTATTTTTTTTCTCAACGGAACTATTGAATTTAGCTGTACTATGATAAAAGTAATCAATTCATCTTTATTGATTTCTTGAAAGGCCCATTTATGAAAGTTGTATAATGGGCTAATTATGGTGGACCGAGGATGGATGGATGGATATACAGAACTTCGGCTGCTATATTGCCTACGAAAAATTATTTGGTCTTGTTAGACGGGATTTGACTTTGACTTTTTGACTGTTTTTAGAAAAATGCAAAAAAAAAAAAAAAAAAAACGTTTACATTATGTAAATCTCAGTTTCTATCAAATCTACTTAAACAAAATTTTAATATTCTATAATCTATCTAGAACCTGTAATAGAATCTTCCAATATTAACACTTTCATATATGGGAACGGGAGAGTTAACGTTGGCTTTTAAAAAATGAAGAGAAATTAATCCATTGGGTGATGCAACAACAATAGTTTATAGGATTACAATTTACACATTCACACCTATCTAAATTTCAAAAGTATCCATTGGGTGATGCAACAAACAATAGTTTTACAGGATTACACATTCACACCTATCTAAATTATCGCAGAAAAATCGTTGCAAAGCATGATAAATACATAATTATATTATTTTAACAAACTTGTAAAGAATTTAAGACATCAAAACCTTAATACAAGAAATTTTAACCATCCTAATTCTATTTTACATTTGGTAGAAGAATTCGATAATTTTGAAGGCGTATACGGTGAATGATCAGCAGTTGTGACCAAACACAAACTATAAAAAATTTAAACACGTTATGTTCTGGTGACTCAGTAGATTTGATGGGTCGATCAAAGACTTGTTTGAACCGGATGAAATATTGTTGATTGGATTTGAAGTTTGTTTGTAAGTTTACCTTTAGAGATTTTCAAATATCTAAAGCGCCATCAGATTTACGTTAGTCTGATATGTGATGATTAAGGTTTCCGGTTATAATGAATAATTAGTATAATTCTGTGTATATAAAAACTTTTATATTCGTTGACAAATTAAAACAGTATTGAGATTTACATGTATATATCTTCAAATTCATGACATAAACATACTACATTCGTTTCTTTTATTTTTTCTTCCTTTTATTTGAATAATGAAACTCCTTTTTTCTTATATTAATTACTCTAAGATATATGCTTTAACATGATAATTAATGAGCTAGAAAACATTATTGAAATGTCGTCTATCTAAACGTTTATGCTATATATGTTTAGGAAGGCACATATATCATTTAACTATTCCTCCGTGATGGATCCCAATCTTCGAGACACTAAGTAGTTTCCACACCGTTGAGACGGAACATCGTCACTGGAGCCAAGAACGCTCGCCGGTAAGCGACCTTCCATACATTCTTTAAGAATCAAGAAACCGATCTTACCACTGTCGTTAGATTGATCACCACGCCGCGCCAAATTCAAAAGCTCTTCCAATTTATCTCTTCTCATCCTCACTTTTATCCGTATAGTGCTGCTTCTACGTTGTCGTAGCGGCTCCTCTACCTCTCTCCCTCTTCCTCCGTCGACGCCAGAATTAGCCGGGTGCACAGCGCAGCTTCTCCTAAGAAAATTCCCCATTATCTTGATCTTTCTTGTTTTTCAAATGCTTGCATTAATTGATGTGTGTATGACTTGTCGTTTCTATAAATTTATAGGACTACAAGAGATTAAGATATTGTTAGGCATTTTTGTAAAGGCGTGGGCATTTTATATATAGGCGTGTGCGATTTGGTTTATATTGTTCTGATTGGGTATTTCGGTTTTGCCGTCAAAGCATGTCCAAACGAAAGCCGAAAAAAATTTATATAGTTTGGTACGGTTTGATAAATATGTGGTTTGGTTTTGTTTTTGATAAAAAAAAATTGATGCAAGCTGAATATATCGTATTGATATACATACATTAGATTAAAAAAAAAAATGTTGAAAATATAGTACATTCGATTATGTTGTACTAAATTTAGCTACGGTTCGGTATATAAATTGATAGCATTTGATTTAAGTAAAATCCGGTTAGTTTGAAACCCGGAAATTTTATGAAAAAGGGAAGGGAGTTGAGTAAGAATGTGAACTACGGCGATGCATGGGGCATGCGAGGTTATTAGACGGAAGTACATTTATTATGTAAAGACAGTGTTGTTCTGGTTCACGTATCTGCTGACGTGGAATCTAAGTAATACACACATGTTGTCAGGGTGTGTTTCACGCGTCAACTATCTTCAAATACGGTCTTTATCTCCGTGATTTAGTCACCTTAAACCTCTTAATTATATTATTACTCACCTATTTCTCGTTTTTATCAGTATAAGAAGAAAATAACATTATTATATCGAATGCAAAGTATGAAACCATCCCGTTTATTCTGATTGCGTTTCATTTTTTGATTCCTTTAAAATAAATTAAATGTATGCGTATGTATAACGAAGCTCATTAAAGAAAGCAATGTCGTAATCAATTCAGGACCATAATTTTTACGAAGTAAGTTTTTTTGTTAGGCCCATTATGTATTTTTCACATACTAGTTAAGTGGCTAGTGTTGGGTTAGGCCATGTACGTAGGTTTGTTGGTGTTAGTAGGCTAAACGTGCGGCTCTGCCAATCCTAATCGAACTAATGAGCAAAACAGTTTTGAGAGAACAATTCTTTACATGTAAATTATATTTGATCTAATACTAAACTCAATTTTATATAGTGTAAGGCTTTTCAAAAGAAACCATATAAACCCAAAACGTAACCACGTTAAATTTCAAATTAAAAACAGCAATACATTTTCTCGCTTTAATTATTTTGACAAAAAGAATAAATCAAAGCCGACAAAACACAATAAATGAATAAATTTTCATTCGTATAGATTTCTATGAGTATAAATCATAATTATTTGCTTGTATTTAAAATTTCAGCATCTAGTAGGCTAGTGGAATTTTAAAATATATATTTCCACTATGGTGGGTTCAAAACTCTCTAACTAATAGATTTTTCATTTTAAAATGAATGTAAAATACTATTATGGGCCATTGTCCCGTAAGGACCCTTGGAATTAATAATGACCCGCCAAAGAAATTGTTGGTAAGTAATTAAGTGCACCGAAAGGTGGTACTGTTTTTTTGTCTTTCGTCTTGCCATATAATCTTTCTTATTTGATCATCCTCCGTATAATATAAGAAGACAAAATGTTATATTGTTGTAGGACATATGGATCCGCAAGTTATGTGACATCTAAATATAACCAATTAGTGTAAAAACAACAATGGAAAGGATAATATATACTCTGTTTATCTGATATTTTATACTTTGTTTATCTGATATTTTATACTTTGTTTGGTCCATAGGTTAACACGTTAAGACCATGTCCAATGCAGGTTTTTTAACCAATATCTTAGAAATAAAAAGGCAAAAAATAAATCAAAATTCAATATTAAGCTAGGAGACAACTCTTAATTAAGAAGTTTTGAGATAGTTTCTTAGAGACACGTGTCGGTACAAGAGAGTTTAAGAAAAAAAACAAAAACCATTTAAATATAAAAAATTATAAAGTTTTATATGGTTTATAAAATACTTCTCTATAATAAATACTAGTGATTCGATACAAATATTTTATAATGTTTTAAAGTGTTTTAAATCTTTTATACAAGTTTTAAAAATGTTTTTAAAAGGGTTTTTAAGGTTTTTAAAAGGTTCTTATAAATTAATTTTACGTTATTTATGAAATATATATAATTTTTTGTGTATACTTATAAGGTCACACACATATTTGGATAAATTTCAACATTTTCAATGGTTTTTTTGATAAAGTTTGAAAATGGAATATTTTAAAAAAGTGGTATTTGAAAATATGTATTTTTGAAATTATCTTTCTTTTCCAACCAAAGTTCTCTTCCGACCAAAACAAAAAACTCTCCATCTCTCTCGTTCTCTCAGGCAACAAAACAGTTTCATCTCTTTTCTGATCTGGTTAAAAATATTTAGCAAAACTTTGGCAACAACTAAAATATGATTTGTATTATGTGTTTTATTATATTTTAGTTATGTTTGTATTATGTGTGTTACAAATTAATAATTTTTATGTTTTATAAAATTTTAGTTTTCAAATTTTTTTTAAGAACTCCAATTAAGAGTTTTACCATTGGAGGTGGATAATTTTAGTTATCCTCAAAAAATCTTATTTTCAAAAATTACACCATTTATTAGTAAACAATTACTAAAAAATTATGATAGCATACTACCATTAGACATGCTCTAACGTTCGATATATACAAACACAATTCTAGCATTAGTTTTCGTGGGTTTTCTTCTCTAAGAATTTGGCTTCACCTGCATTATTCAGGTTGAAATAGTAAAATTCGATTGCAAATTTGATTATAATCATCCATTGTTTTAATAAAGTGTGAAGACTATTTTGGTGTCTGTCGGCCTTTTTTACCTTTTGACCTCACGTGAATATTATTACCCTTTTTAAAAGGAAGGGTAATTAATAAATATCGGTTTTTTTTTTTTTAACTTGCTTATCAATTATCATGATAGTAGAAAGCCCAAAATCATAATACTGTATGAGGATAACAAAAAATATCACAAGCAGAGGATCTTCGTTCCTTTTTAACCAAGAAAAGTGGTGGACCATCCACAGTTTTCATTTTTTGTTTGACATCGTAATAAAGTTTTGATACTTCATATGCTTAAAAGAAAACCTTATTAAGTCTTAAACCCTTCTCCGTCTTGGGTTATCTTTAGATTCCATACATATCTTCACCTATACACATGTACAATAACTAGTTCCTTACTATTATATAGTTCATGTGAAAAAAACAAAAACAAAAATGGGTAACTGCGTATTCAAAGGCAGTGGTGGTTCAAGAAAACTATACGATAAAGATGATTCGTTGATAAAAGTGGTGACACCAAATGGTGGCGTTATGGAGCTTCATCCTCCCATCTTTGCCGAATTTATCACCAACGAATTTCCCGGTCACGTCATCCACGACTCTGTAAGCCTCCGCCACTCGTCCCCGCCGCTTCTCCACGGCGAAGAGCTCTTTCCCGGTAACATCTACTACCTCCTCCCTCGTTCTTCCGCCGCCTCGACCGTTCAACAGTATTCTTCCGACCAACTGTCAACGCCGTACAGAGTGTCTTTTGGGAAGACGCCGGTAGTGACGGCTATGAATGGCGGCGGCGGAGGTGGTTGTGGAGTGTGGAAGGTGAGGCTTGTGATAAGTCCGGAGCAGTTGGCGGAAATTCTTGCGGAGGATGTGGAAACCGAAGCGTTGGTTGAAAGTGTGAGGACGGTGGCCAAGTGCGGCGGAGGTGGACTTCACTCGAGGGCGAATTCAGACCAGATAAGCGTTACGAGTAGTAGCTTCAAAGGGCAGGTCAGGTAAATTTTCGAATATATATGTGTAACCCATGTTTTATGTAATTTTTACATGTTAATTATGTTTTACTCTGTTTTCACTATCGAGTTTTAAAATCATGTTGATTTGCGTTGGAGACTTGAAGTTATTATATAACTTTATAAACTTATAAATATTTGAAACATCGACGACATCTCTCACATGAAATCGTAATTAGTCGATCATTTATTATTTCTTATTCAAAGCCTAAAAAGAGCAAAACAAAAGAGACATCTGGATATCAAATATTTATAGTTAAAAGAGATATCAAAAGAGATATTGTTCATGTTCCACTTATTAGTTAAAACTCTCTGTTGGGCCTATGTTGAGTTTGTCTATAAATGAATTGTTGTCGACTAAATTTAATCCTAATCACTTGAACTTATAATGTACCAAAACTTTTTTCTTCTCAGGCCAAAGGGCCCAAATATGGCAAGAAACAGTTTAGGCTAAGGTTATGTGCACCCTGCACAACTATTATTCTGAATTCGTTATTATGTAAATACGGAAACAAAAGAAACAGTTGTTCTTAGACTTGACCATCTATCTACATATCGATATTGGACATGTAGATGTGAGTATGTGAAGTCTTTTTTTTTTTTTTTTTCCTGATGAAAATGAGTATGTGAAATCTTGACAGCGTCAAATCAGGTTTTCTAGAAGAGAGAAAAAACACTTTCATTCCGATTTAAGCAATGAAAGTGTTCATCGGACATAATATTAATGTTTTTAACATGAGGCGATCGAATCCTAGTCGACACATGTGTTCTGCAGAAAGGGAAAAGATCTGAAAGTAAATTCCAAATGCACACCCTGAATGATTGTTATTAAAGTGGTGACGCAAGATTATTAACGATTTTTAATTTTAGTACGTATATACTTAGCTAACTTCATTTAGACTTATCAAGAAATACGCTAATTAATACCCTTATGTATTTGTTTTGGGTATTTTAATATAAATGCAATTAGCCAAGTAGCATAATACGACTATATCATATGCATATGCATAATACGCTACCGAAATTGGTTATATAATTAACATATTTTAAGTATGTGTATACTATAGATCTCCACCATCACCATGTTTGCATCTGTTTGAAAAGACAAACACACATGGTTCAGGTTAAAGATTAAATAACGGATGACATTATATTATTTTAAATTATGAAACCAAAAGGTACGTACCTTTCTCTCGTCTCGTGCATGCAAAGTATTTAACTAGTTGTTTAGTTCGTCATGAGATACCAAAGTGAGGAAGAACACAAGTATTAGACGACAAATATTTTATTAAAATTCTAACAATGATTCGATTTCAGCTGTCCTGGCTGCATCAACAACCAGCAAACTTGGAAGGTATTAACATTAATTTGTTTACTATAAAAAAAAAACCTTAAACGGAAAAGAAAACCTTAAACATTGGAAACTATAAGATGCTAACAAATGTGAATTTTGGAACTTTTTTGGGTTAATGTCTTCTTAGCCATCGCAATAATATACTTTTAACTTCTACTTGGCCATTGTATTTCAAATAAGGAAACAGAGGAACAAAACATATATCACACTTAAAAAATCATGCACCATCCAACTGGTTCCGCATCGATAAGGCATTCAATTATCTTCATTATGCTCTTCGAATTTTATCACCGCAAGCGCAATGATGGAACACTTATTCGTGGAGACTTATAAATTTTGTTGTTGCAACAATTGTCTTAGACATATCATTCACAAAGGTTCTGGTTTCTTTATGGCTTAATTATAGTCGTTTGTTTTCTCTTGCAAGGGAGGGTTAGTGATATATTTACTAGCACTGGGCAAAATATTCGTTAGATTCGCTTCGATTCGATATTCGTTTCGATTCGATTCGAAAAATTCAAATATCTATAAGATATTGAACCGAAGCAAATATGAAAATCTAGTATTCGTAAAAACCGAAGCAAATAACAAATATTGATTTTTTTAGTATCGAATATCCGCTTCGCTTCGTATATTTATATATATGTATAAATATAAAGTATTATATAATACATATAATATATATAATATGTGTATTTATAGATTTGGGTATATATCTGATAGGCCTATTATTCAAATTATTATATTTTGGCTCGTTGGTTTTTTTTTGTTGCTAAATGGTGTTTTTAAGCAAATAAAACTTTACTAGAAAAATCATTATTAAAAATAAAATGTAAGAATTCTATGGACGGTGGTTATATTTCCTTCTTATTTTGAAAATATGTCAAATAAAAACCTCTAATATTTCATATTTTGCACTTTATATTTATGTACTATATATTTTTTGTTTCAAAAAAAAATTAGATGGGTCGAAGCAAAGCGAAGCAAGTAATTCGCAAATATTACGAAAAATATTTGAATATTCGAAGTTCCGAATACTCGTAAATTTACGAATCGAAACAAATATCAAAATAAACTATTCGGTCGAGGCGAAGCAAATAACAAATATCACAAATTTTCCGAATATTCGCTTCGTGCCCAGGGCTAATATTTACTAATTCATGTGATGTATTTATCTTTACATAAATGTTATATAACCTTCGTTTATACTATAGTATATAAAAATAGTAACAAATAAATGAAGATTGTTTCCAAGAGTTCAAAGAAACTGTAATCCCTTGGTCACATGGTAAACAGATCGCTATCGTAACAACTACTTATATATGAAAAGAAAAAGACCAAACCAAACAAAATCAAATGTCACCTTCAGTCCGTCAACTTTACTATTACGATTCATAAATATCAAAGTACAAATTTCTAAAGCTTTTTTAAATCCACGTAAAACATAGAACTTTGTACAACGTACGTAACATAATTAACAAGAACCAAAACTGACCTACATTTTAAAAAGCAAAGTAAACAAACATATGCTGGACTTCTAACACTTACAAAAGAAAACAAAAGAGTCATCTTCTCAACGATCAGCTTGCAGTAAAGGAGACTCAAGATCTGACTCAGCAGTCCAGTTTTGGCTTGATAATGTTCATTTCAAACGACATATTTGATCATTCCTTAACCACAGAAGATTTTCTTAATTATTCATTTTGTAAATAGCATCCATACTAAAAATGCACCTAGATCCGATCGACCAAAGTGCAGTGGTATAACTTTTTTTTTTTGTTGGTTATATACATTCATCATCATTTTGGGTTCTCCCTTATCGCGCGATATACCTTTTTGGTGAAACTCTATTATACATAGGGTATCGAGGAAAAACTTCAATATGTAGTTTCTATCACTAATTATAGATTCGTAATCAGTCGCATGCCTATGCTCAAATTGGTTTTTTCACAGAATTAAGTAAAAAATCAATAACATTAAAGAAAGAAATTATCATTGACGGGGAAAAAACCAAGGAACACGTGCAAATTGTAAGTATACATATAATACAGAAATCATCATAATATGACAGTTCGTATGTCCATTTCACCTATTCTTCCCCCCACGATTTCTTAGGATTTTCTCTTACCCTACTTGCTAGTACTGCTTTAATATTTTTCTACACTTTTTGGAACTTTATACTGCCATTATTTAATTACTCACACAAAAAAAAAAAAAGAACTAAAAGTTTCATAAGTTTTCAGTAACGATCGAGACCGATCGGTCTCGCGAGACGTAGTTGTTAGTTTTATAAAACCTTTTTTTTTTTTGTTACTGTATATATAATACCAAGTTTGTCTGCAGTATGGAGATTGACACACGTACCACATTCACAAAATAAAACTACTTTTTTTTTTGGTGTTACATCATTCAAAGGTTAGCTACATATCTTCTAACATAAGTATTCTTATTATATACACTGGATTGCAAAACCTTTGACAGTGATATATATTCACATTTGTCAAAACTATATATTGTTAACGGATTTTTTTTTTCCTTGCAATGTCAAATATCGTAATTATAGAGAAAACTTGGATTATATATAGGTTTAAGATACAAAAAAAAAACAAAGAACATTTCTTTCGATGCCAATTACAAAGTCCTTTTTTAATCTTCGTCCGACAAGCGCAAGTACATAGTCATATGACGTCCCACCATTAAGGGTTTAATAAATTTTTACGATAATTAAGATTGCTTCCCATGCAAACTTTCTTCATATTTTATACAATTTATATACATAATACATAAATCATGTCATTTTGGTTATATGTGACTAATTATCTTCAACTGCGATAATTTTTTAATCTATACTTTCACACCACTAAATATGTTCAAAAGTTACCGACATGGATTACATTAATATTTTGACCTAAAGACATCATTTTATTATATGTGTGAGTTTAAATAAAGAAATATTTTGCTAACTTAGAGCAACGCCAACGATGAATATCCATAAATGAGGTTCTGACAAGTTTTATTTTAATAATATAATACATATTATTTATTACTTTTTCTTTTAAACATCTAAACCAATCAAAATGTTACACTTGTTTTTACAGTCTCTCATATACGGGTTCTGAAGTTCTGAAGTCAGAGACTGTCTCTCTTTTTTTCTTCAATTCTTTTATTTTTATTATGTTTTAATCTAGAAAAACTCATCTATATCTTACCAATGGAGATGGTCTTAGACTTCCGAGAGGAGACATGATAACTCGTATAAATATGTTCATCTAGCTATAGGTCATCACTTAAACTGTGGTTAAATCTCAGTTTGGTTGACACTTTCTTGACAGCTGATTCAAGTGAAAGATTTACAAGAGTTTACGTATTGATATATGGAGTGATTCATATATTAACAAAGTTACAAAAGTACATAATTCGTTATTTCACAAAAGTACTACTAACCATGTTGAAGAGAATATAAAATTGGTCCCCCCACAAAATCTACAGGATACGTACGTACATACTTCTCACTCACAGTTGTAAACAACTGTTCATCTAGATTCACGTCGCCATCCCAACTTATGTGAATATACAGTAATTTTACTTTTTTTTTTTGGCAAATCCACTCGCTTTTCTTGTGTATCGGAAAGGTTAAATTTATATGATTATAACCACATGCACAATACACGAATCCTTTATACCTTTTCTTGCAACGTTAACTACTACCTGCACATATATTCGATGAACGTACGCTATTTGAAACAGTTCAATTGATATCTATTAATTTGGATAATTTATCTCCATCTTCTAATTTCCGTAAGGAATTGTCATGTACGTTAGTACGTAGTATACTACTCATCGTTCTACAATACGAGCTTTAATGTGAATATGTGATCAAGTCTTCATCACATGACATTTTTCTTTCTTGTTTGCCATAACCCTTCGTTCAAAAAAAAAAATGACTAATATAAAATGTCTTGTCCATAGAGATTTTTAAGGTCGGGGGTCATCGTAGCGATGTGTGCTTGCTTCCTACATTACAGTTGACATGTGGACCATACTTTTCACCCAATAGCTACGTGACCCTGGTCCCACTTTGTAACAATTATTAACGGGTATATTACTGAATCATGCCAAAATATATGGAGTATAAGTTTAAAGTTGGCAAAACCAAAGGCTGAAGAGTGAAGGTACTTGGTAAGAACCCATCCACCCTACGTTAGCGGTTTGATTAGCTCATAGATGATCATTACCCAAGCAAGTGTACATTCCCACGAGTTCAATTTCCGGTATACAAACCCTTAGAGGCTCTTATTTATGTTTTACTTGTAAGTGGCGGCTCATGCGAACTTACAATGACACCTTATGAAAACATTAAACATTCGGGGAAAAAAACAAACAATCCTCCCATTATCAAAAGGGAAATTTGTTAGAAAGAAAATTAAAAAATGAGAGCAAAAAGAACACATGCATTCCATCATATGCATGTATTGTTTTTGTTTTTGTGTTTGCCAGGTGATGTAAACAATATAGACATATATTTTACTTTATTTTATTTTGACATTGAAATATACACTCATATATATATATATAGACCCACTTTGGTTAGTTATAAACTCGTTATATTTTCTTCTTCTCTTCCTATCTTTAGCAATGAACATATCAGTAAACGGACAGTCACAAGTGCCTCCTGGCTTTAGGTTTCACCCAACCGAGGAAGAGCTCTTGCAGTATTACCTCCGCAAGAAAATCTCTAACATCAAGATCGATCTCGATGTCATTCGTGACGTTGATCTCAACAAGCTCGAGCCTTGGGATATTCAAGGTTCATAAATCATTTATATTCTTTCTTGTCTTATTATACTATATTCCAATTTCAGATTATACATAGTCTTTCTTGATTCTCCATAAAAGAGTATGATTAGGGTTTCTATATAATAAATAATTCTTTCATTCACGTTGAGTCGTATACATATGCAATCATTCACGGGATTCTTGGCAATTTCTTTTATACATAATAACTAGTAATTAATTGATTGATTGTTAAAAAAATAATATAACTATCTGAAAGAAGAATTAATTATAAGTAAGTATCTAACATAACTCTTGCTTCGATTTCCGTGTAGAGAAGTGTAAGATAGGAACAACGCCGCAAAACGATTGGTACTTCTTTAGCCATAAGGACAAGAAGTATCCCACGGGGACTAGAACCAACCGAGCCACCACGGTCGGGTTTTGGAAAGCTACAGGACGTGACAAGATCATATATTCCAATGGTGACAGGATCGGGATGCGAAAGACGCTTGTCTTTTACAAAGGTCGAGCCCCTCATGGTCAGAAATCCGACTGGATCATGCACGAATATAGACTCGACGATGGTAGTGTATTAATCTCCTCGAATCACGACGATGATGTCACCGTCGAAACATGTGAGGCCATAGGAGGGGACGAAGGATGGGTGGTGTGTCGTGTTTTCAAGAAGAAGAATCTTTGCAAAACCACTATTAACAGCCCCGCGAGACCGGTGAAAACGTCGCCGTTCAACGAGGAGACTATCGAGCAACTTCTTGAAGTCATGGAGCAATCTTGTAAAGAAGAGATAGGTTTAGACCCTTTTTTGAAACTCCCCAACCTCGAAAACAACTGTTACGTCAGCAAAGTTATGGATCCGAGCTTCGTCACTAGCTGGGCCGCTTTGGACCGGCTCGTTGCCTCGCAGCTAAATGGGCCCAACTCGTATCTGATCCCACCTGTTTGTGAGTCTCCGGAATCACCGTTCCATGAACTGAACCGGTCCGGTTATTATACCGGGTTAACGCCGGATAATTATATACCGGACATGGATTTATGGAATGATGCAGATTTCGGGAGAACGACTACGTCATCGTCGAACCCATCGTGTCACGTGTTGAACCTCGGTTGATAACAGAAATAATGGAAGTGTCATATACCAAAACTTTGTGTAAAGATATAATAATCATCATACCATATCATACCATATAGTTGTTAAAAGTTGAAACATTTACGATGAGAAAAAGGTCAGGTTGTGATAATTACAGTAGTTATGTGAAATCATTACAGAAAAAGAAGTTCTCTATGTCTGTCGTTGTACACTAAACATCATAATGATTTTATTTTAAAGAAGAAGAATCTGGTTGCTGCGCAGTTTGAATTTGATTGGATTATAAGAATGTTTACATTTTGGAACTTAATTATCATTCGATGACCAAGAGCAATCACATTTTCCTTTGCAACAATCACATGGTTCGTCCACAAAAAAAATAAGTTTTGGAATAAAGTTATTTCCAATTCCATAACATTCTTTCATATGTTTCAAACTTTCTTAATTTATTCTCTATTTAGACATAAATTTCTATTTACTTGGGAATGCTAATGCTAGGAAATTCAGATCGTTTAGTTGGTAAATGCTTAGTTTGATGTTGAATAGTTTGGTTTTTAATCATTAGAAATTGATTAATTACCCAATTAATCACCTCAACAAACTTGGATTAAGATGCACCAAGTGCCAAAATCGTAGCTATTATAACCTAACCTACCCATCAAAGCTAAAACTAATCACACTCATTATATTTAATTATAGCATTTAACCATATGTACATTATTCCTTCATTTTTGATGAATGATCTCTTTCAAAGTCCGGAATCTTACTTTTGAAGAAGAAAATGGAGGATTCTAATAATCACATATTCGTTTTATTTTTATTTATCATGTGATGATCATTCATGCTAGTAAAAAGCTCGAAAGTTGTTACGTTTTGACTTTCCTTTTCCACTTTAGCATTATGGAATTAGATTCGATTTATTTTGATATTGTTAAAATAATCAAACGTAACAATAAATATAAGGATGAAGCTTTTGAATTTCGGGGCATCAAATTTTTCCCTTTGACCTTCCAACAGTATAATCAGTGTAAACAGGCAGTCATCAATCATATATCCAATTTTACTGGATCTGGGCCATTTCAACTAAAGCCCATTACTATTGGTTAATAAGCGGCACATTTTATTATATATGAGGAAATCAATCAAGATTATGTATTAAAGACTAAAGAGGGATTGGATTGTAAAAGCTCGTTAGAGTTTTTTCTTCATTTCAAATGGGCCCTTTCGTAAAGTGTATTGGAACAGGCCCATAGGGTTGTATACCACTAAGTTATTAACAGAAAAGAAAAGGCGTATTAAGTTTTTTTTTTTCTTTCTTAAAGGGATGTTAATCATTGAAATAACAATTTTTTTATATATAAAGTAGAAAGTAATAGACGATTATATAAATAACAAAAATAAAAAAAGGTAAAAAGACTTCCACTAATGGTGACACAGTCGACCGACAATTAAATCCTGGCCACTTGTTACATGTCATGATAAGTGAGACTGCGAGGATGATCATTTTTTGCTTTGAGTGGATTCGGTATTCGTACTCCTTTTTTACGGAAATTTTGGGGGAATCCTTCCTTCCGATATAAACAATGTAATACAATGCATATATATATATATATATACATGATCTTATTGAAAAATGGAGAACGCAAAAAATCATTTTGCCGGCAAGAAGTGATACACAAAAATAATAGATTTATACTGTTGAGTGCCAACATCTCAATTAATAAAGAAAACGAAAGAAATATACACTACTAATATTTAGCACCTTCTTGGACTTTCTTTTAGTTTTCGTGCCTAGTGGTTGGTTAGATGGTTGTAATACTAGTATACTTAAAAATATATAATATTTGGAATTAACACACGCGCGAGACGAGATTAATAAAAGCAAAACTCCGATTAGAAGAGATAAGTACCCACTTCTGCCGACTTTGTTCTTTCATCATTTTCGGGGAAAATACAGAAACTTCTTAGTTTTTGTGTAAATTATTATCTTTTGTATTCGTTTGAAGTAATATAGGTCATTTTGTGATATAAAGAGATTTTATTTCTTGTGTACTTACATAACTCTCATATGATGGACAAATAGTATTTGTTTTCGGGTCAATAAAATTTAATGCGATGTAGAAACTGGCCGTTACAACGGAAAGATAGATAACTCTATGGCATTATTTGTTACTTTTGTGTCAAAAAGAAACATTTGTTAATTAACTGAGATTCTCTCTCTTTATTTAGTTTTTTCTTAACAGATGCAAATTAATTTAATATTGACTAATCCCATTCTACAAAAAATTCAAATTTATACGTCTCATAACAAAATATCAAAAACGCATATTGCCAAATCTTTGTTCGTCATCTCTCCGACTCTCCCTACACAATCATCTCATCAGCGTGATCATCATCAATCGGATAAACATTATATAGCACTAGAAATTTTTATAGATGGAACAAGTAACATTGTTCATGTAACTTCACATTTTATTTATAATTATACATTTTCACACACCACTTACAACTTTCTACTCCTAATCTTGTGGGTTAGGCCGTGTTTGGCTCCACAACTCCACAAGATCAAACCCCTTTAATTTTTTTTTTTAAAAAGGATAATAAAAGACTAGAAAAAAAGAAAAGACAAATTATTATTTTATATCCCTTTTGCTTGGTTGCGTCAAGATGAGGCTCATCATCATCAAGCTCTAAAACACCCAACAAGATGATTGTGGCTATGATGATCATGATGATGATTACTATGGTAATTAACCGATCTCTCTCTGTCGATCATGTCTTGAACATATCGAAAAACCTCCACGTGGCAAGGGATTGTGATGGTACCTTTCTGCTCGAATCCATACTCTTCCTCTGCTTCCCTTAAGAGCTGCATGAACAATGGATGGTTGAAATAAACAACAGGAACAACAAATCTTTGTCTCTCCTCTTCTTTTGATCCCACTTTTATTGCTAAACACCCTTTTGGAACATCTTTTATCCCTTGTTTGCTACTGCTTTTCACGTTACTAGAACGATTTTGATGGAAGCTTTTGATATTTTTTTCTCCCGAACCCATTATTTAGAGATTCGACGAAGGAAGGAAGAAGAGGAGCAAGACCGAAACAAATAAAAAAAAAGGAAATGAAATGTAAATCTTTCTCCCGAGAAAATTTGGCTTAGGAAACAGAGGAGAAAGGCCAAGGGGTCTCTACTAGTGGAGGTGGAGAGAATTTAAGATACCTTATAAAGTTGTTCATTTTTTTCTCATTATGGAGATACAAATTTTGGATTTTATGAGCGTTGCTAAGTGAAATAAAAGGGTCAAAAGAGGATTTTTATTTATTTAAAAGCAAACCTTTAATACTTATGTATTTTAAAAACATAGTACAGTATATAACTTCCTTATTCCATATTTTGGTTACAAAATCTTTAATCAGAGAATTTCAGTATTCATTTTTGGTAGATCAATTCATTTAGTTGACCAAAATGAAAAAGCTTCAATTCATTAATTAATAAAATTTAACAAAATTATTGAAAAAAGTATAGTGTAGTGATAAGTTAGATAATAAATACTACTTTTATTTATATATATATGGGCACAAAATTTAAGATGGCAAATTTAATTTAAAAGTAAATTAAATGAGAATCTCCTTTTCTTCATTAAAAAAAAAATTCTTGTATTTTAGGACTGCGATCATTCTGGAATTTACAATACAAAACCAGTTGGAGTTTTATATGTACATTGATGGTCAGATTTACAATATTTTACTAACATAAGTGTGTATGATACATCGTGTATTTAGGAAATGCAAATACAGAGAAACACCATTTGCATTTGTTTTTTTTTTTAGTTGAGACAAACCAGACACTTGGACTTTTCTAGATTAAATACAAAAAAAAATTATAAATAAACAAGACACGTGGATAAATATCATTATAATGAGGATTTGCGTTTAGTTTTTGTGTGTGGGAACAAACAACATTGGTGTGTTGCATGTAAGAGAGTCGTCTTGGTGAGGAAGGAAGGTTTCATAATTACTTTTACTTACATACGACAACATAAAGCAAACAACGATTCTATATAACCGATGTTTCCAAAATCAAACTTAATGTTTTCCTTATCAATACAACGTAAATTATTCTGAAGAACTTTGGGTCAGCTTGCTGTTTCTGTACTGTGTATGGCTGAGCTTTCTACATGTATGGAGCGGTGTACACATTTTTGTTTCTTCAAGTCATCAACATTGATGCTGTGTCACCAAATTCATGAGTTCAAAGACATGATTCACTTGAATTTGGTGCACCACTTGTTATCACACAGATGAAATATTGTTATGTATTAAAGGCAGAACAAACTAAATATATATAACTAATTAGTTTATTGTATAAATAGTTTTAAACACACAATCGAATTTTGAAATCCTTTGAGGAACGGAATTTACTCAATCATTAGACTATCAAAATATTTGCTATAGACCGATAATATATACAGTATGTCAACTTTGATTGGCATATAAAATATAATAGTATTATAGAGGAACAAATATATGAATATTATATATATACTCGCATGTCAAATATAACCCAAAGTATTGAATACATATAAAAATACAAAGTTGGGGTACGATGCAATGAACAAGAAGAAACAACTTCAGGACATGCCCACGTATGGAGTTCATTTAATAATATCTCTCATTAGTCATCGACTTATTTAGACGAAATCGAGACGAGTGATCCTTCAATCGAACTGTATTTTTTTCTTATTTGGTCAAAAGGTCTCTCCCCAAAGAGAACATCATTTTATTTTTTCTTATAATTAATTCTTAGTTTCTATATATATAAAGTTAACTTTTTCTCTCTTCTCCTTAAGCCACATCATCATCCACCTCATTTTATTATTTAATTTTAAAAATTAATTATACCATTTTATCATTTAATTTTAATATTTAAACCTATGTAAATAAGTTTTTCAAAAAAGAATATGAAAGGTCTTTTTTAATTATATATTATAAAACTAAAAAAGATAATTGATTAAAAGTTAAAAAAAACTTACTAATTATCAATTATACTAACAAATATATAAATAATAGATTATAGTTTTTAGTGAATGTTTAAAATATATATATATGATTATATTTAGACAATGTAAACCTAAATATAATGGGATTTAACGGGAATAGAACAAAAAGTAAGAAATTTTGAGAATATAAATCTATCTAATTTATGTCTCAAAAAAGTTTCTAACATAAATGAGATAGGTCGGACCAAAACATGAATTATCATTTTTTATAAACATATAAAAAGGTAAAAATAAAAATAATATTTCTTTAAAAGTTTCCAATATGAATTTAATTATTTTTTTCCAAAGAATATGAAAGGTCTTTTTTTTTAATTATATATTATAAACTAAAAAAGATAATTGATTAAAAGTTAAAAAAACTTACTAATTATCGATTATACTAAAAAATATATAAATAATAGATTATAGTTTTTAGTGAATGTTTAAAATATATATATATATATATATATATGATTATATTTAGACAATGTAAACCTAAATATAATGAGATTTAACGGGAATAGAACAAAAAATAAGAAATTTTGAGAATATAAATCTATCTAATTTATGTCTCAAAAAATTTTCTAACATAAATGAGATAGGTCGGACCGAAACATGAATTATCATTTTTTATAAACATATAAAAAGGTAAAAATAAAAATAATATTTCTTTAAAAGTTTCCAATATGAATTTAACTATTTTTTCCAATACAACACATATGTTAAACTAATAAACAAATAAAAAATTAACTATATTTCATAAAATTGAAAATTAAAATAAAAAACATTATTAAATAAAATAAAATAAATATAAAGTAAATTATACTAATATGTTAAATTTAGAAATTGTTCCATATGAAAAACAAAAATAATATATATATAACAAAAAATCAGAAAATATATATAATAGTATATAAATGATCATTAGGAGATATAAAGTACGACAAATCCAAAAAAAGAAAACGTAAAACAAAAAATAATAAATTATGACAATATATAAAGAGATAATGTAAACAATTAAAAATACAACAATCCGCCCGAAACCCACAAATCATGTTCAAATTTCATGCCAACATATAAAAATGTCCAAAATATTAACATTTAGATCTATATTTGGTAAAAACCCTATTAGCACACGTTTCTCAATGATTCTCAACCGCACTTCCATTTACGCCCACACTTCGACTTATACTATACACACTTAATTTCTCAACAACTAATGAAGCTAAAACTCAATAGTTTTTCGATACAAACACAATTTAAGTTTTAAAAAAGTAAAATATGGTATAGTGAAAAAAATAAGTAAGAAATAAAATATGAATCAATTACTAATAAACAACATAATAAACTCACGCGCGTAGCGCGAACAACCGACTAGTATTACATATCAATAGGCCTGTGCATTAAATTATTGAGCTTTCAAGCGCTGCCTAAATATATACAAGAAATTAAGTGATAGAGTTGGCCTAAAAGAAACTGACTATTGAAATTTCGTGGACAGAATATTTTAGCAAATACAAATGTTTAAGGTTAACGTTTGTTTTAATAAAATAAAAATAATTATTTTTCAGAATAAAATAGAAATGAAAAAGAGTTGACAAAAAGCAGAATAAAAAAAGAAATAATAAGACCGTTCCAAGTGGGTGATGGCGAGGCGATATTACTTCTTCACATCAGATCGATACAAAACTTATTAAAAAAAAAAGGAATGATTTTCTTATCTTTTTTCCTAATATAAAATTAATTGTTTTAAGTACGATTAGCTGTTTAATGGTGACATAAGATTGGAAGTAGCTCATATTATCGTTGAATTTGTAACAAATGATAGTATCAATCAATTAGAAAATTTGGTGATCCATACAAAAAAAAAAAGAATACATTTTTTTAATCTACTGAAGCACATTTGTAAATTTTTATAGGAATAATACTTGTGCCTAACAAAAATTGCAGATTAATATGCTAACAGATTAGCAACTTTGTTCTTCGTGGCATAGTTGAGACTTCGAATTACCAAAAAAAAAAAATGAAGAACTCAATTCAAAAGGCCAATGGGATGTGGAATAGTGGAGGGAAAATCAGATTACATTAACAACCTGAAATTAATAAGGCCCACTGGGTATGTCTAACTGGGCCTTCCCCTTTACTTTAAAAGTTTGCCTAATATGATGCGTCGTATAGAAGAAACGTAATTATTAAAAATGGAACAAAGATTTAGATTAGACATCAAATCGTAGAGGTAGCTAGAAAGACAGACACTGAAACCGTTGTTAGGAAAAATAGAGAGAGAGGTCAAAGTCTTCGTTAATAAAGCGAGCCACATAGTAACTTGTTAAAAGACTACAAAAAAGTCAAAAAAGACAAGATGTAAAAGTCATGGTAATTTGTGTAATCAGTCACTAGTGAAAAGATATCTTTTGGAATTTTTTAAAAGCAAATTTTTATTTTTTAAACTTTGATTTCCATTCACATTTTTCTTATAAATTGTGGTTGTTAATTTCTAATATTCATCCATTTTAATTAATTGTCTGTTTCTTTCTGTTCTGATTCCAGCGAATGTCTAAAAGAAAACATTTCATCGTTCCACACTTTACATCCATTCACTTTGTTAATTTTGTTTTTACTTTTTCACATTGGTTATGAAAACCAGAGAGTTTCACTTTCACTTACACACTGCTTTAAATCAAACGTGCAACAAAAACAGTAAATTTTGTCGTTCATTTTTACTATAACTTGAGTTTGTCATTTCTTAACTTAAATATTATTGACTCTTGAGTCTTGAGTTTGACAGTACTTCTTGGTTCATCATACCACGATTAACTGTCAGGTTTTAAAAAGTTGTAACTAGTATAGCACGATTTTTACAATCTTTGATGTACACTAACAAAATTAGCATCGCCGAAAATGGGTTTGAAATGGAGTTCCTGATACTGGATGATGTAATAAAAGATCGACTATATACTGACTGAACAATGGTAAATGAAAGATCAGGTAATCCAACTAATAGATAGAAGATATTATTACATTTACAAGTTACAATATTTGGAAAAAAAAGAGAATTTATCCGACCAAGTTTCTTGAGCTTGAAGCATCTGCTGAAGTCAAAGTGTTAGTGTGTGAATATGTAGAACAATAACAATCACACAGAGAAAGAACAAAAAACAAAAAAAAGGAAGCAAAATGTGAGAATCTATAAATTCTAATTACTTAATTTAGGAGTAAATAAGGTTTAATGGAATGACGAAACCCTAGTCTAGGAGTTGTGTGTACAAACAAGAAACATAAATTTAGTAAAGTAATCGTTAGAAAGATTCAGATCTAGCTTCAGATCTAGTAGATCTGGTTTAGTTTTGAGAGAAGTAACAGGCAGATCTGAAACTAATATAACCTTACTCATCATTAAATAACAACCATGAATAGATCTATCTACTCTCTGAACTCTAACTCGTCCTGACATCATAAAAACAAAAACAAATCATTACAAAATCATAGGTAGAGAAAGAAAAGAAAAAAACGAGACAAAAGTTAGTAATGATGATAGACTTTTTCAGCTTCTCACATGAGTCAGATTCCTTCATCATTACACCAATCTGTAACCAAAAAAAAAAAAAAAAAAATCAAAACCCACCTGAAAACTCAGAAGATCTTGATAACGAAGACCTATAAAAATAAAATAAAGATTGATAAGAAAACATCGAAACTTTGTTCACATTGAGAAATAGAAGAAACCCTAGCTAAGCTAGATGAAGAGCTGACAAAAAAAGGGGACGAGGAAGCTTCTTGGGTTGGTTCGGACTGGGATCGAGGGAGCAATATTAATTTGGGGGGAATGAAGCCTGGTCCGACGACGCTAAAACCCTAAACAATCATCATCATCAGATCTGAGATGCGACCATCGAAAATAATGGAGATAGATTGTATTAGTGTAAGAGTCCTCGAGCCAGACAACAGTCCCCGCAAAAGATAGATCCCTCTTTCCTTCCCTCAGAGAAACAAAGCTTTTTCTAATTAGGGTTTCTAGTTATTTCTTATATATTTTTTTCCATCACTCATGTATTCGTCCCCTCCCCCATCAGATCCGGCTGAGATCAAGGAAGAAGAGACAGAGAGATAGAGAGAGGTGAATGTGGTGAGTGATGAAGAGAGAATGATGAGAGGGATAAGTAAATAAGAAGAGAAGAGAAGAGAGGAGACTCAAAAACTCAAAAGAGAGAGAGAGAGAGACAAAGCTATACAAGACAAAATAAACATGGGTTCTGGGTGGCTAGGTCCCACGTCTTATTTACTTGTTTGTATACCATTTTGTATTTATGTTTTTTGGTCAAACAGTGTATAGTGTTTTTTTCCTTCAAAAAAAAAAAAAAAGAGTGTATATTTTATTTCAAGTTTCAAGATTTTTCAACGTAAACATTCGGATTTACTTTTTGAGACATGTCAATGGATTTCTCATTTCACCATGGTGTTTTTACTTGTTTAAGCAACATCATATACGTAGTCCATACCACCCCTCCCTCACTTTTTTAACTTTGAATTTTATATATCAGATATATAGACCCATACTCATAATGCATATGTATTCGTTTCTTGTTTTACTTAGCTTTTGTGACGATTTGACCTAATTAATCAAAGGGGGAAAACTAGGAAGATGATGATAAATCAGTGAGCGTGAAAAGGAAACCAAAGAAAAGAAGGCTTTGAGTGAATGCCACTAGAGAAACGATCAAATCACAAATCACAAAGATTAAAAATGGAAAAAAGGGAATCAGAAAGTAGAGAAAAAGTTAGTCAGAGGAGTGGTTGAGTAAGTTATATATATATATATCCTATATATTGATCTGCCCCAATATCATCAACCATTCTTCATTTATTATTATTTTTGTCTCTCTACTTCATCTTTCTTTTCCATTCATTTGCCATCGTTTCCTTTTTTAATTCTCCTGTTTCATTCAACTTGTATTACTCTATTTTAAATCAATCTTTATAATTATATATATACTATATAGTGTCTATTTTGATTATCTTGCTGCTAGCATATATTTGTCTTTCTAATTTTCACACATGTAGTACTGAGTATTATATGCGGTAATGAACGGAGTTACATTTCATATACACAAATGTATATCGGTAAAATTCCATATTTGATTATTAACAGTTTAAAACCGGTTTTCTTTGACAAAAAAAAAAAAAAAGAGTTTAAAACCGGTGGGTTAATTTGATACTATAAGATAAATTAACTAGTGTCCGCAATATCTACTTCAAATATATTACATAACACTGTAGTTATATTTTTAAAACAGGGAACAAATTAAAGAAAAAGGTACTTTTCGAAGAATTCCTTTTTGTGATATCAAAAAGTCTTTCCTTTTGAGTTTTGTCAACCAATATGGCAATATCATCTGCCTGTATTATTTTGTGTGTAATAAAACATACGTACAATACAAAAAAAAAATAAAAAAAAAATAACACGATATATCATTTATGCATACCAGCTGTTATATTATAGATGATAAAAGTATAAGTATCACTCTATATGATTTATTTAACTTTACATTTAGTTTTTACAAAGACTAACATGAGCGACTATAGCAAAATAATACTATATACCAACATCTCTTTAGACCGTTGTGATGCATATTCATTTTTTTTATATAAAGGTCTTTTTGCTGTATACAATATTACAATATACACATATGTTCTTTTGACGTAAAAGGTCGTAACGTATTTATTGTCTTTTCGTGAAAAATACACAATATTAATTAATTAATTATTTAATCGAAAAGAACAGAGACATTGTAGCGAGAGGAGTGCCCGCGACATGTGCTGCAACGTTTTGTTAGTTTCCTAATGTCCAAAGATACCTAATGAAAATCTTCCCGTTGTATATAAAAATAAATTGCATTACAGCATGCATAACAATATTTGCAAATTATAATAGATTTCGTTTTTTTTTTTTTTACTTAAAGTTGATTATGGTCTATAATTAAAATGCATAGTAATAAAGTAATTCATGCGTACTATTATTAACATTAATAAAAAAAAAAAAAAAATTTAAAATATCAGTAAATTCCTGTATAGTACAAAAAAAATATCCTACTGCGACAAACAACCCGACTATCGATGGAAAGACGCGTGACTAAACCACAATATATGATTTTGGTATACATTTCAAGTTGTCGACGACGACAATGGAGAATCGAGATTATTAGAGAGTGTTTTTTATACACAGCTAGATATATGTATGTATGTACAAGCAGAAGAAAGAAATGCATGCGTAAGAAGTAAGATAGAGTAAGCGTGGGGGGGGGGGGGAAACGTAGACTGTGCATGAGAATGACAAATGGAGAAGACGATTCTTATTTTGAGCTCCAATTTCGACGTTTGTTGACAGTCTTCGAGAGTTGTGTTTGTTTGTTTGTTTGTTGTTTGTGTCTTGCAAGAGAGAAACAATGAGGAAAAACGTCAATTCCATCCCACCACGTTATCCCACTCCTTTACATTTTCCCCTTTTCATTTTTTACTACTATTATATGCATGTTAATCAAAATTATTTAGTATTATTGAATCTATCAACTTACTGTTGAATTAGGAATTCACACATGAAAAGGGGGTCCCAATTTCTTTAGGATAAAGTTAGGTTTTCGCTCAATAGATCAAAGATCTAGGTTTTTTTGTATTGATTATTCGATGCCCTATAAAAGAGGCATCTTCTCTATTTATACAAGAGATTTAGGGTTACAATAAATGCTCGTATTCCCTAGATTTATAAGAATATCCTCATAAATATTTAATTAGAGTTTATGAAACCCTAACGAGACAAAGTCGCCCATTTCCACTTTAGGAATGAACATAAATCTTCTTTAAATGTGGAACCGGGATTCCTTGATTTCGTTGGTCCGATTCGATTCATTTTTGGTTTAGGACGGTATGTCGTTGGTGCTAATTCCTACACCAACACTTACAAACACGATTAGTGTCTCATTAATTAGTGTTAAAGAAAACTATCACTTCCAAAAGATTAACGTTTTCTAATAATTTAAAAGACTGGTCCAAACTGCACTTAAAATCTAACAATTCCCGAAATTGAAGAGTAGAAGATGTGGAAGAAGATACAATAATATAAGGTAGGGGTAGCATTGTAATTAGGGAAAGAGAGTACCAAAAAAAAAAAAGGCAGAGAGAGCATTAAATGCCCTCTTTGTTCGTATTCTCTCTGCCATCCTTTCTTCTCTCATTTAATTCCATCCTCCTCTGCTCACTGCTCACTGCTCTCTCTCTCTCTCGGCCTCAGATTCCATCAAATAAACAATCCCCTTTTTTTTTATTCGCACCTAATTCAGTTTTTTTTAGTATGTCTTTGTTTGTGGTCAGCATATATATAAATTTCATTACTAGTCAAATTGTTTATAAAGAAACATTCAAAGGTCTTTTGATAAGACGCTTGTCATAGGCTTTTTTATTTATTTTTTCTACTGTTCTTTTTACAATGTCCTCTAAAACATCTCCATCACTCTTTTCATCTTTTACTTGTCTCTCTCTCCTTTTTCATATCTACGTGAATGTCACAACCTAATATATAAGCTTTATCTCTACGTAACAGCAGCAGCGCTTGTTGTAATCTTAAACCTGATAAAAATTGTCGCCAACAAAGCCCATTCTTTGCTACTAAAAGAAAACTTTTGTATCAATTAATTTGGTCCAATGATTCAAGCCACCGGTGTTTCGCAATTGGTCCTCATGGGCTAAATGGGCTTTTAACTTTTAACAGTTTCCTCCTTTGGGTCTTTCAATTCAAGTACTAATATATAGGCTGAATATATATATATCCAAACATCGAACGCAACAGTAAAATGTTTTTTTTTGTTCATTACAGTGACTTATAAGAAATAATTTACACGAAGCCTTCACGAGGAACATTGAGCCGGTTATATACTCAGAAGTCAGAACCAGCCTTAGACCAACATCGTGCCTTCGTTGCACGTGAGTCGAACACCATATCTCTTCACCTTTTCCTAAACCTTCTAGACGAATCCGAAGCTTTTCCGACACTTGCAAAGTAGTTGAAATTAGTAGAGCAAGATTATTGTTGGTCCGCCCATTATAGTTTTTCTCGTGATAGAGAATTTAATCTTAAACTATGCTCTATATAGTCTTATAGATAACAACAACGATTAAACTATATTAATCAAAACTTCTTTCTTTTTTTATATGACTTTCATTTTTTTTTGTAAAGGTTACTATCATCACATATAATTTGTCGACCTCTTTTTTTTTGTAATGGGCGGTGGTGAAATAAATGTCTCTTCCTCATTGGATTGGCATCTTATCATGGACCCTCCTTGTCTTGAACAAGCTATATCATACCAACCTCTCTGTGTGTGTGTGTATGTGTATCGGTAATCTTATAATCGATCGGCCTTTTCTTTCACAATATCGAGCTCATTCAATGTTTAGGTTTAGTCACGACCGAATCCTACTGACACTTAGGGTTATAAACTTCAAACACTATATATATCTAGCTAGAAACGAATTTATGAATATATCATAAGCTTTACACGCGGCAAGACGAAGAGATTGGAAGAATATACAAAATACAAACAAGTCATGACAAGGCACCTTTGAAAACAAAATTATTAAACAAATATGGTGTAATAAAAACGTTTTTTAATGTTCGGTTCAATGTATATGTTTAAAAACCATATACAAATATAACTTTCCTTATATTTTTCTTTCATATTCCAAATCCCTAATATTGAAATGGCTGACATAGCTGAACTGAAACCGGAATGTATCTAAACTCGATCGAATTTGATTGCTTAACCATAACCAATTGATCATTAGGAAACCGAAAACTGAAAACAGAACCAGATCTCTCTTTAGAGAATTAAAGAAAGAAAGAAGAAAAAAAGAGAGAGAGAGAGAGAGTAAAGAATCATCTTCTCTTACGCATCTTATCAACAACTGCTAACATTTAATCTAACCTCGACACGTGATAGCATTTGTCGGACGCAATATTCAGATCACAACCACAAACTAATCACCACGTCACCTTACTCATCAATCTTAGCTTTCTGAATGGTGCAATATGGCAGTGAATCAGTGGTTGATCTTGACAACTTTGATTGCTACTTGTGTGAAATTATTCTACATATCTAATTCATTCCATTGCATACCCCAAAACAATTCCTCGTTTTACCTCATTTAAACAACTTGATCCAAGTTTAGTCATTCTCTCTAAACCAATGTATTTTTGAAATAATTTTCTGATTTTAAATCACATTAATAATTAATTTATGATTTATGTTTTTTTTAAAACGTTTTAATGAATGGCTAAAAGTGACGTTGGATCGATCATCGATGAGGCCGCCGGAGTTCACAAATGGCCGAACTTCATTTGTTGTAATTTGTCTTTAATAAGTCAAAAGAGATTTCCAAGAAGCAAGGTGAACGTAACCTTAAACTAATCATTAAAACATTTATTAATTACACCTAAGTTGCGTTTGTCATAAATATTTGTTGCTTAAACAACGATTTGTCAAAATGCCATGGTTGAGAGATACCTATATATAATATCGCCGAACTATTAGTATAGGAAAAATGCAAGAAAATGTTAAATAAATAATAGTTGGAATAAAATGGATAACTAAATATACATAAAATGGATAACTAAATATATACTGTATATATATTCCCGAAGAAAATTAGAACGGTCATGATAAAAGGAAACCAAGAATATATATTAATTTGGTCAGTTTACTTTACAATGAATCTAAATTGAGTTTGCTTTTCATTTGCATGGAAGTCAATAAATCTAAAAAATAAAGAAAAAATAAAGTCATAAAAAGCTTTGAGATCTCGTGATCATCTTCTTGTTTTCCGTGTAGAGAAAGTAACCGCGTAGAGCATCGGCATCGCTTAAATTATAGTACCATATGCGATGTGCAAAATTTATCTTCTTCTTATGTCAGGTTTACATATAATATATATATATATATATATATATATATATATTATTTAAGAATATAAAACCTGAAACCTTAAATAGAAGAGCAAACACTACTCTCTCAACTTACCAAATACAATAACGAAATTAAACCATGATTAAATCTTCTTTTCGGATTAACGCGATAGAACAAAGATTAGGTTTAATTTTATAAAATGTATATAATACTCAGATGAAAAGTCACGTTAAAACGTGTTTCACGTAACCAACCTCTAAAGGATGATGGCGTGTGAGTGAGGAAAAATTAAATCTCAAATGAAAATTTTAAGATTAAACCTTATGATGAGTTTGTGATGTATTCTAATTAACACCCGTCGATCATCCTGATATGTGAACGTGGAATCTCGTTACACAAATCGTATAAAAATTATTGCTTAATATCATCTCTCTCTCTCTCTCTCTTTCGTAATGATTACCTATCAAATATTATCTTGACTTAAAAAAAGTATCGCAAGGCCTTGGCAGTCACATGTCATATGATGATATTTTGTTGTTGTGCATGTTAAAACATAGTACAATGATGATCATCTAAGCTGCTAGAATCTATTTTTAAAATGCCTTTTCTATATATCGTTAGTTATATATTACAAACGGTACAAGTTAAATAAATATATATATATATATATATATATATATATATATATATTAGCTTGCTGCACAGAAAAAAAAAAGGCTATAAGAAGGTTGCTTTAAAGTTTAACTAACTCATCTATCATATAAAATAACTAACTGTTTTGTTAGAAAACTTTGGTAATGAAATGATTCTACTGGAAAACTAAAGTAATCCATTTGATGAGTTTTCGAGCAGAATTCAAGAAAAAGTAAAAACAAAATGCATTTACGAGAACTTTAAAGTTTGAATGTACATAACGTAGGCGTGACCAACAACTAATATAAGATTTATATACATAAATTGTTTTTAAATGGTATTGAGGTTACCACAAAGTCCAAAACCATTTCATTCACTTGATCACTTCCATAAACAAGAATGTTAATCTTTAAAATAAAATAAAAAAGAGGTTGCAAAATATTATCACGACTAATTAGATGATTAGTTCACATCGAAATGAAATACGACTTAAACTGAAAGAGACATGATACAATTCGTGTCGAGCCACAAATTTTGGACCTACCTATTTTTTATTTTATCGCGTTGTTCCACAATAATATTTTTTGCAGGGTCTTATTTAATGAGTTATTTTTTTATTTATTTTAAATTTGTAAATTAGTCACAGAGACCCTACTACAAGCAAACACAGTAACTCCCCCACATACTGTATATATAAAGAGGCCAATATCAGCAACACAGAGATTCCAGAAGAGAAAGGAAACAAATAATTCCAAAAACCTTCTCTCCTAATCGCAATCATCAAGAACCTTGCAAGATCTGGTTTAGAAAGACCATGGAAGAAGGAGATTTGTTCAATTGCTGCTTCGGCGAGATTAATAGTGGCGGCGTGACCATGAATAAGAAGAAGATGAAGAAGAGCTATAACCAGAAGAGGTTCAGTGAGGAACAGATCAAGTCACTTGAGCTTATATTTGAGTCTGAGACGAGGCTGGAACCGAGGAAGAAGGTGCAGGTTGCTAGAGAGCTAGGGTTGCAACCTAGACAAGTGGCTATATGGTTTCAGAACAAGAGGGCTCGTTGGAAAACTAAGCAACTTGAGAAAGAGTTTAACATTCTCAGAGCCAGTTACAACAATTTGGCTTCACAATTTGATATCATGAAGAAAGAAAAGCAAGCTTTGGTCTCTGAGGTACATATCTATTGTCATCTTTATCTTTAATTGAATAGTGATGGGAACAAAAATTGATATGATAATTTTTTTTATAAAGTATAAACACAAGAATATATGAATAATTACTATATTCTTATTTTTTTGGGATCCTATACAATAATCACTATACTCTTACTCTAAATTAAGTATGAACAGACCAAAAACAAAAAAACTCTCTGATGGGTTTTGTTACCTAAAATTGGATATTAACTAATTAATCCCTCTATTTGCAGTTGCAGAGACTAAATGGAGAGATGCAAAAGCCTAAAGAAAAAAGGGATCATGAGTGTTGTGGTGAACAAGGAGTGGCTCTAAGCAGCAGCACAGAGTCACATAATGGAAAGTGTGAGCCAGAAGTGAGGTTAGATAGTGAAGGGATTGTTCTGTGTAATGATGGTGACAACAACAACAACATCATCAAAACAGAGTATTTTGGGTTCGAGGAAGAGACTGACCATGAGTTCATGAGCATTGTCGAGAAACCTGATGATAGTTGCTTGACATCTTCTGATAACTGGGGAGGTTTCAATTCTGATTCTCTCTTAGACCAATCTAGCAGCAGTTACCCTAATTGGTGGGAGTTTTGGTCATAAAAACATACAAGAAATAAACAAAACATAAGTGAAGAGAAAAAAAAAGAGTGTGGATAGTTTTGTAGATTATGCGAAAAGAAAAAATCAAATTTTCTTTGGTAGTATATTAAATCTAGTTTCGATCTATGTATTTTACTATGTTCAATACTCTTTTGTAGCTAATAAGTAGTAAATCCAAGACTTGCAAATTATAGTAAACAAACTAGATCACTGGAGACGAGATTCAAGATACTATTGAGAAAAAAGTTAGCTTATGATGATGAGATGAAACGAAAGGAAAGATGAAGACCCGAGCGAGAGACAATAACAAAAGTCAGAAGTATGTATGTTAGTAACTGAAGCTTCTTAGAGCAAGATTATCAATGGTATCTAACATTTTAATCTTATAGTTAGTTTAATAATAAATTTGAAAAAGTAAGAGTTAAGAGTTGTATTTGTGTTTTTAGTTTTGAGACATCTTTATTGCTAGTATATTAGGTTAAGGATCTTAGGAAAAGAAAAATTATATAAAAATTAAATTAAATTAAAATTTATAATTTGAAAAAACTTTAGAATTATTGAAAAATTTTAAATTTAAAACATACATAAGATAAAATTAAGGAAAGAAAGAAAGAAGAGAAAAAATAAGAAAATTGATTTTTCCTCTTACTTATCCTAGAGAATTTTTGATGAATGTTCCTTTTAGTGTATCGCTTTTTAAAAATACCCTTCTTTTCTATCCATTTTTAAAAATACCCCTTTTCAAATATGAAAAATTATAAACTTTTATATGGTTGATAAAGTACATCAAGATCATCATTACTACGGGAAAACTAAATCCAAATTATTATAAGGTTTTAAAAGGTTCTAAACGACATTTATAAGGTTTTACAAGGTTTTTAAAAGGTTTACAAAGTTTTTATAAGGTTTTTAAATAATTTTTAAAAGTTTTTTAAAATGTATTTATGCGGTATTTTAAATTTACACATATATAAAGATAATTTGTTTCTATAAATATAAATTTCAAATTTTATAGTGACTTTTTAATAAAATTAGAAATAAATATATATATATATTTATCCTACTACCCAATAGAATCATGCCACGTGTACGCTTCTTAACACACTATTTAGATCTTAAATAAGATAACTTCTTAGTCATTTTGATGTATTTTTGATTTAATTAAATCACAAATAATCCTAAGAATTGTCTAAGATCTTGCCTATAATGTTGGTCTTAGCACAAAGACATAAGCTAAAAGATATAACTACAGTCTACAGAGCATATTGATCTAAACTGGAACAAAAAAATATAATCACACTGCTAGCAAGCCGAAAGAAACAGAGTAATGGTCACAGTTACAAGAGTCTTCCAACCGCACCGATTTAAATTTTGATATCGAAACAGAGGAAAGAAGAGAACGTTTGGTTTCTCTCTCTGGAGAAGTTAGGTCCGAAGCATCCATTAAAAAGGAAACAAGTGAAAATTTTGGCAAGGTAACATCTTCCCTTGCTTGCTCATCAAGTTTACCAGTTAGGAAGACGAGTTAAAACGCTGAAACCACGACAAGAGAAAACGCTGATAATCGCGCTTCGTTAATTAATGGGTAACCGGTATAAAATCGTTAATCCGGTTAAAAGCTGCATATTGTACCGGGAACTTTGAGTTTTGAGTCTTTTTGACTTTATATCTCCGAAACGGGTCGGTCCATATTGGGCCTTTTTATAATGGGCTTTTCATTTCTGATGTTAAAAATCTAAACCCAATTCAGAAAGAGTCTACCCGCTTCTGTATTCGTGTTTCTTCTCCTTGTATAGTTGAATACTTCAATCAACGGAATGTTAATGTACTCTTCTTTTTTTCTTTTTCTTTTTCTTTTTTTTTGTAAAAATGTTAATGTACTCTTCTTTTTTTTTTTGTAAAAATGTTAATGTGCTCTTGTTTGGATTTTTTCTTCTTGAATTCATAAAAGATAACAGAGTTGGCAAACACAAACAGAAAAAGACGTATCAATTCTAATCTATTCTTATTTTTTGTCTCCAAATCAATTCGAAATCTTGGACTACTATTTCATCTACATATCTTAGATACTTAAGTGTGAATAAAATTGGAAAACCGCTTTTAAAAATATATAACGTTACGGTTTACAAGAAAATAAAATAAATCGTTAGTTAACGTTACAAATTTGACCTGATAAGACCTTTTACGTTCTCAATATATAGAAGAAAAGAAAAAAAAACCTTTACTGAATGAGATAATATATTTATTTTGTACAAATAGAAATAAAAAGATATTGGTGGTGGGGAATGAACAATTTTAACCTACTCGGGTATGATCCAAAACTAAATAATTACATGCACGCATAAATGTTTTGTTTTGTTTAATCAGGATGTGGATTGATTGGTTATTTCTCTACTTTGATAAAACTCCAAAGTTCAAGATTCTTTGTGTTATTTTATGTTTTTTAAAAAATTTAGTTTTCCTTTTTTCTACTGACAAAGACTGTCAAAAGTTTCGGATTCAACTCCTAGATTCGACATCATGTTGTTTATTTTAATTAATCTTCAAACCCCTCGAATATATATGACTCGGTATTAAAAATATTTTGATAAACTACAAATATATATTCATTTTAATATAAGTGTTTGATCAAAAAAAATAATATTCACTACTGTTCTATAATGTCCATACATATATGTAATCACTGGTGGTCTTGTCTACTAAACTATTGAAATTTGAAGTGCGTGACATATATAGATTCCGATTGTCTGTAAGACTCTATTGACTTATAATCAGTGGCTTTGTTGGAGACATATATGTTAATAATTTGAGTTTAACACACTATGCTTTTCCCCGTCGTACCTTTTCTTTTGGATTAATATATATATATATATATATATATATATATGTTACATGCAGTTGCTTGGGGTATCAAGGAGAGTCGCACAGACTTGTATGCAAGTTGTGCCTATGGCAGTATGGCACTATTGCTATTGTGTATATGTCGTCGATGTGCAAATGGAAATGTCAACTTCCTCCAGTACTTGCCTCAAGAAGTTGACCTATATACTATATAAATAACAGTCCACAACAATTAAAGGAAAAAAACTGAGATTCCTTATAAACCGGTAAATGTTCATATTTTAACACAATTTTAGATAAGAATATAAGATTCACATTGTTAATTTATGAACAGGTGACGGAACTAGAATTATGAAAACGAATTATTAGTTATTGTATATAGCAAGTAGTTTTATATCAGTTTTTACCTTAAGGTAGGTAAAAAAAATCAAAATCTAAAAAAAATCTCTAACTAGATATGTTTCATCATTAATCAATAAAAATTTAGCTAAACATATTACGGATTATTTATTTCATCAAGTCAAACTTCACATCATAATAGTGGCGACAAAATAAAGGATTAATGTGATCCATAAACCTTTGAACAAGTGTAGACTTCCATATATTCTTCGTAATATAAATAATTTTCGAATTATTACAGAAACTTTTTGAGGTTTGACCTATTATATCACACACACTGACACTGTGACACACAAAGGAAATAAAGCGATTTGGAACGATTTAAAAATTCTTTGATTGATTAACATTACACAGAGAATCGAATCTATTTATATCATTCAAGCTAGTAAGCAAAAGTGGGTTAGGTCATCGAATAAATTTATATGCTCAATTGCTCATTGTCATTGAGTTGAGGTAATAATAAATCCCTAAACTAAAAAATGATATTAAATTAATTATGTAAATTTTAACGTATTGACCATATGAAAATATTCATATGAAGTAGCTATAGTATTCTTGAGTACTTCTCATTCATCTCTCATTTGTCATTAGAGTCAAAATGTAAATCCTTCAAAATATTACGAACTAAAATCATGAGTGATGTGATTTGTAGTTTTCTACGGTGAGCGTGTATTGGTTTTTTTTTTTTCTTTCTTTCTTTTCGCGAAGCAGTGAGCGTGTATTGGTTATTAATAAGTAAACAGACTTAGAGCAACATTATAGGTAGTATGTTAATTAGGGTATCTTACATTAATTTAGTATTAAATTTGAAAAAGTAGAGTTTAAGAGTTTTAATTTTGTTTTTAGTTTTGAGATGTGTTTACTGGTAGGATCTTAAGTTGAGTATCTTAGAAAAAAATTATTTTTTTAAAAACTATATATATTTATAATTTGTAATTTAAGAAAATCTTATAATTATTATATAAGTATTGCAAATTTGGAATTTGAAAAATACATAAGATATAAATTATTAGATAAAGTACAATAGTTTTAAACTTGATTGTGAGAAAATTTTGTCCATATATGTTCGACCAAATAAATTGTTTACACTTTAACCCAATAAAACATGGAACTAAAATACTTTAAAGTAGATGATAGAGTCAAAATTTAATATACTTCGATAATTTCAAAATCAAGATACTTATATATATTCAGTTTTATCATCGTTCAGTTATGACAATAGAAAATGTCATAGATAAAAATATTAAAAAGTATTAAGTAAGGCTAATAAATAAATATGAAACTAATTCATTAATTAAATCTTTTAATCAAACTAAAATATTAAAAAATCAAAAATATATATTTTTAAAGAATTTTTCGAGCCGACCTGAGCCTGACCGGGTCAAATCCAGAAAATCCTTTAGCCTAAAAATAGAATAATATTTTTTTTCTATCATATATTTATCTAGCCAATAAAAATATGCTGATTACAAAAAAAAAAAAAAAAAAAAAATATGCCAGCGTCTCTTAACTCACAGAAGTTCTCTTATATAACATACGTATCTTACAAATAATAATGTTTTTGATTTAAATTTAAATGTTAGTTTAGGTAAGATCCTCCTTAAATCCTCCTGATAATGGTGGTCTCAAGGGAGTACATGCACACTAAACTCAGTTATAAATAGTATATTTTTAAAAAAAAAAATCGGCAAACTAAAACCAAATCAACAGATTATATTCGACATATCTAGTTAATATTCCCACATAAAATGGGTAAATCAATCGGCATTAATCTAAGCAAAAGTATAGTCTGTATAGCCAAAGCCAACTTTCTAAAGTACAAGGATGCTGTGTACCTAGCTACGACGGTCCACTGAGGCACCATATCAATTATAAAATTTAAAAGGTAATTACCCTTTGAAAGGCATGGTTTATAGTTTAAATAGTTTAATTAATATCTAAACATATGATTATGTAATCATATCACCAACGGATTAAGGTATCGCTGCAAA